GGCGAAAGGCGGAGAAACAGAAACCGCTTCTTCTTCTGCTTCGCTGTCTGAGTTATTCGTGCTCGATTCTTATTTTTGATATTTTTAAGAATAAATATGTAACAGAAAATCTGGTGGTATTACAGATATTAAAAAATACAATTTACGTTTGAAAAATTTACCACCCAGTATCTCAAAAGTTAAGACGTTTACGACATACGTTCATGCGAAGTTTCCTTTTTAAAATGAACCCAAGAATCGACTGACATTTAATTAGAACGCACCCTGTTCAAACACACATTTCAGTAAAATTAAAAAAATGGGCAAGTCCTATTATACGCTTACGGCTTTTCGAAGTGATTTTTCAATCCGTTTCGATTTGGGTCGTGGGTCGTAAAACGGGCAATAAATATCGTTCGACGCGTTCGCGAAAGGGTTGTGCGCTTTCAATGGCAATATCCGAAGGCGATTCGACGCGATCGGAAATTTAATGTTTCGAAAAAAATGCGGCGGAAAATGTCGCTACGTTTTTGTTTTCGTCGCGACTGGTGGCAGATGCCCCGAATTTGATTCGAAAGGGTTGGAGCGCGTTCGTTGGACGATTCTTTCAAGCAAATAGACATATAAATAACGAATTGAACTGAGATATTTGCTCATCGTTCAGCAACGACACGGCATCATGAATTAATGAAATATATTTATTAATTAATGATGAGATTTTTTATGAAATGAAAATAAAAAATTTATTTTGTTTGTTTTTATGGGCAGAAAGACTCTGCCAATAATAATAATAATAATATAAGTAATAACATGAGAGTGGCGACAGTCGCAAATAATAACAGCAAGAATAAGAGCACCAACACCATAAATGTCAAATAAAATACTCATACGCTTTTGCTAGATATTGGCTTTCCTAATAAAAATAACAACGCTTTTTTGAAGGACTTTATTGTGGGGAGGGACGTTATAGCATAAGGTATTTCATTAAATAATTTAACTGAGTCGTAGCTAAATGATGCCTGTAAAGTTACCGAAGTGTGTCTGGGAACTCAATATCTTAAACAATAACGAATGTCTCGGTTATCAATATTATTTCCTCCGCAAAGTTTATCAAACAAGTACGAAGGTGTCTTAGTGGAGTTTAGTAAAAAAATAAAGGTGGCTAACTGAGCCGCAGATACCTCCGAAATTATTTTTAGATCTAAATTTATTTTGGTAGCAGCATTCAAAGCTTCACTAGCAACAAAAGATAAAGATAACATATGTTAATAATTTCATACAGTTTCATGGGAAAGAAATGACCAGTTCACAGTTTAACAGAACAAGACGAGATTGTGATCAAGTCATCAGTCATTTACTTGCTAGCAAGTTAGTATCCACCCATAGTTGCAGATTTTTTGCTCAATTGTTGATTTTAAATGATTTTTGATATAGTCTTCCAGTTTTTGTGGTCTAAATAAAACGCCTACTGACTTAGTGGCAAAATAAATAAGAACTAATTGAACTAATTGAACTTCATTGAACTTAAATTCTCACAACAACATTAATTAAGGTTTTATTGTCATTTTGCGGTAAATATAGTAGCAGGTAGTTTGTAAATATTACATTTTATAAAGAGTCGGTGTTGTTGAGCTTTTAGTTCGTATTTATTTTGTTAAATGGATTTTCATCAAGTAAAAGCCACCTCACTTCAATGACTTATTAGCGTTAAGCTTTAGATTATGAGCCTAAGCTATAGCAATTGGGGAATTTAGATTCTTGTTACTTCCACCGAATACTTCGTTTATTATTAAGAGATACATGTTTCGAAACAGGAAAGAAAGTCAGAAGTTCGCAAGATCTGGCATTATTTCACAGAAAGCTTTACTTTTGTTATAGACAACCTCGTGCCATCAAAGTAGGTGTCAGTTAAACCTCGCAAACCACAAAAAAAAAACAAAGAATTTCAACAGCATCAGAAACTTTGCTGCAATCTAACAGTACAAGACAAAATAATCATCAAGATGTCATATATTAAGTAGGTACTAAGTTGGTACCCGCCCATAGCTCTAAGTTTTTCTGGTGCTGGTGGAAATGACATAGCCACTGACTGGACGTCAAGCTTTAGATTATGAGCTGAAGGTATATCGAATAGACAGTTCAGATTCTCGTTACTACTATCAAATACTTCGTTTCAAAGCAGGAAATGAAGTCAGCATGCTGACAAGAGTCTTGTTTCACAGAAAGCTTTACTTTTGTTGTCGACCTATTAAAATATCAAAGGATTTCAACAGTATCAAAGTAATAGTTACGTAATATGGTGGACCTATCTTGTAAATCAACGAAGGAAAATGTTGACAAATAATTTAAGCAGTAGTAGATGGTAGATTAGTATCGGCCCATAGTTTTAGCTTTCCAGTTTTAAGCTCTACATCAACCTCATTCGTTTTTGTGGTCCAAACAACATTTTCACTGAATTTAAAAAAAAATAGACAAAGAATTTGAATAATACCAAAAGCTCTGCTGTAATCTAACAGAATAAGTGTGTAGATAGTCACCAAGTAGCCAGTTTTAACATTTTTTTCCTGCACCTTGGATGCCCTTAATGTTTCAAAAATACAGGCTTCGCAAAGTGCATAGGGTCCCAACAAAACAAGACCGTTTAGACTTCGACAGGTCCTCCGTCATCCTGATGCAGGAAAATCGTACGGTCGACCTAAACGGTAAACGTCCAATGGGCTCGCGAGCTTTTGTGCCCCGAATAGGAGCCTAAACGCTGGAAGGGGGACCGATCCGCATAAATCAACTACCCTATATGCCTTTTAGTAGTCGAAAAACCTTCCGCGCGAACGGCAATGAACGACTTGGTGTCCCAGCGGGTGACGTGGTGGTGATTTCGATTCCTCGATCGGATTCGAACTCTCGCAGTGAGTAATTTTCCTCTAAATATTATATTTTTTACTTAATATTAGTTTTCGGATTCTGTAAAAATAGGCTTAGGCTTGTTTTTAATTTTCCCGCAACACGTACATTTTTTTTTAAATGGCATTTTTCGTAACTCATGCGTGAAGGATTTTCGTTAAGCAATAAACCAGAAGCCACGTCAAGATTGAAACTCTTATCTCAAGCAAATAAAATATAAAAAAAAAATCTGTTGCATCGGATCAAAACCATGTTGTATTCAGTGAAAACATTGACTTTGAAACTGATGGTTTAATTAGAATATGTCTAAACACCTATTATTAAAACGCTTTTACTGTTACTGAATGACGTCCAATCGTGTTTATATTTATTAACAACTTGCACCCCAATATTAAATTTACACAACTTTTTTTATTTTTACCATATCATGAAACTTTTAATAACGGTCGTAGATAAAAATTTCAAATAAAAACAACACCATAATTGGTCACAAAATATTTTTCCATTTGGCCACAGCACCCAATTCAAAATAATATGTTTTAACATAATTTAGAAACTCTGAAGAAAAAGACTTGTGGAATTTTATTTTTGACTTTGGACCATACGTAGAATGAGTGCCAAATAAGCAATTATATTAATTTTCGCGTTCTGTAAAACTAGGCCTACTGTTTACTGTTTATATTGTTACAATTTTTTAAGCCAAAAGTGTCAAGTATCGAAAAAGTGGTGTTCTTTAGTTTTCTTGTATTTGTCAAATTTTTTGATTAGGGTAGACCGGAGATAATAGGGACATTTTAACTTTTTGGTACTATAGACAAGTATCAGGTATTCGCCAATTATTTTCATATAGTATAATGCACAAGCCCTTCCTCTATAAAATGATTCTAGTATGATGGTTTTAAAGTAAATACACAATATTTAATTAAGTTTATTTACAAAATGTCATATTTTAATTTATTAAAAAATGAAACATTTTTTAAACAAACAAAAACTACACATGTATAATGAAAAGGTTATTTTTAAATATAACATTTAGGTCACAAAAAGTAGTTCACAAGTCAGAATATAATTTATCAAATATAAAACATTCTATAAACAAAAAATTATACATAATTTGATGTAGAATTGTTAATTTTATTTTTGAAAAGTTTTGTCGCAGTTTCAATTTATATTTTTTTAGTGTTTTAAATAAGTGATCGTGGATACTGCAATTAAATTAAAGAAATATTGTAGACGCCTTATCTTGTTAGAGACTTGTTTACGTAAATGAGGTCCTTTTGATGGACTTGAAGATCCAGATAAAGTGCGTGAAGGTGAAATAAATCTCGATTGAAGCTGTAGACCGCAAGTATTTTTATTTTCCATCTTTTCGTTATTTCCTGTGGAACTGGAGATAAAGTGCCTTCACCTAAATTAAATAAAATTTATTTTAGAAAAAATTTCAAATTGCTGCTTTATATTTACTTGCTCTGTTCGTGAAAAAATACTTGAACTAGACATAAAATACATAACAAAGATATGGAGAATATGAACTTTACGCAAAACTTAACAAAATATTTGATACAGAACGTAAACAATTAAAAGACAAGTTTTCAACTAATTTTTGTAAATTCACAGCGAATACTGCGCAACCGCATATGTACCACCACAAAAATCACATTCGGCACATTCCTTCTTTATCTTACAACTCGCTGAAACCCATTTTGTATTTATATACACTCTTTATGATGTTAACGCATAAAATTCAAAAAAAATTAAATTTATGATATTTAAAAAAAGAATTATTTCGAAAAATATACACGTGATAGAAAATATCGCCCAACTGGATCATATGAATCTTCATATTTATGACATTGTTTTTTGAAGGGGGGGTTTCATTACAGACCAGTGTTATTTAATAAAATAATTAATAGAATCAACTTATTTTTTTCATTTTTTGCATTGGTTAACATTGTAAATCGCTGATTGTAGACGGTCCTCATGAATGCTTACATTACAAGACGAGTTTCGTTAGTCGCGCGCGAACAGACAGGTATAAAAAACGAAAGTAAGGCGCGCGCTTCCAGCGTGGGCACCTCCAGGCACCGCATCGCGTCCCTACACTCTCGATTCGTTTCAGAATGTCCGTCCACGAGTTCTACAAGTACGCGTCGTCCTCGTACGAGGGCAGCTGCGATTCCGGCTTCGAGCTCTCGTACAAATCCGAGACCACCGACGACAGAACCGACTTCTTCGACGAACTAGTCACCCCGACCAACTCGCCTAGCCTCGACGTCTCCCTCTACGAAAAGTTCAACAGCGCCTTCTACAAGAGCCTAGCCGATTTCGAGAGGAAACCTCACGAAGACTGGACCCCGCGTTGCAGGCGCAACCTTTTCGACGGCTTCCAGGAGGAGCGATGCGGTGGGGAAGACGAAGCGAAAACGAAACCCAAGAAGAGGTACGCCACCGGAAGGAACAGGGTGTCCAGGGCGAAAAGTCCGTCGCAGATCATGAGGATCAAACGCGTGAGACGCCTCAAGGCCAACGACAGAGAGAGGAACCGGATGCACATGCTGAACGAGGCTCTGGACAGGTTGAGGTGCGTTTTGCCCGCGTTCCCCGAGGACACCAAGCTGACCAAGATCGAAACGTTGAGGTTCGCGCACAACTACATCAACGCGCTCGCGGAGGCGCTGAACGACATCGAAAAGTACGCGAGCGACGACGGACGGGTCGTCGTAAACGTGGGCAACGTTGCCGTCGCGATCGGGAAACACGGCAACGCTGTGAGGAGCGCGTCGCACGCGTGTGTCATAAGCGGCAGCATCAGCAACGCGAGTTTCATGCAGGACTATAACGGCGGCGAAGCCGCAGGTTACCAGATGCCTTATTCGATGCCTTACGATCACCTACAGTACTGTCAGGGTGACGGGGGGTTCGGCCAGTACCACACGGGTACCGAAAACGGGTTCAACAACAACGTGGTGTACGGGTACGGGGGCGGAGGGTACTCGAAAGTGTGACGCGGACAGAAATCTAGTCGGGTTCCGGAATTGTGATTTTTTTCTAGTCGTAGTATAGGGAAACTTAAGCTCCCGGTGTCGACGAAGTCCCTCACTAGGTAACTCTGTCGGAAACGACCGAATACATTTTTAAATTTACGAATGTTTTTATAAAATGGCGGAATGTTTATTTTATTTCAAACACCTATTCCAGGATCTTTCACATATCTCTCTCCCTCTCTCTCTAAATAAATAAGAACTAAAAGTTCTGATTTTCACGAAATTATATATTTTGACAACACCGTGTCTTTATGAAATGTAATATTTACAAACTACATACTGAAAAAGGACCATAAAACCTTAATTAATGTTGTGAGAATTTAAGTTCAATAAAAGAGAGTTATGTAAATCTAATTGATCGTTAAGCAATACATTTGAATGTCTCATTTTGTTAATCTCCATGGCTTCCAATAAATTTAATTTTCAACTTTTTGTGGCTGCATGCGTTTTTCTGTGATTAAGTGTGTAGCATAATTAGAATCTAGACTATTGTTTTTAAACGCTCTTTTTTGTTCGTTAATACGTTTCTTGAAGGATCTACCTGTTTGTCCGATATAACTTTTAAGACAAGATCCGCAGTTCAATCTGTAGACACCCGATTTTTGAGATTTTTTTATACATTTCGTTTTATTGTTTTTTAAAAATGTTCCTATTGCGTTGTTAGTTCTGAAAGCTAATTTTAAACCACATTTTGACAAATGTCTTGAAACTTTTTCACTAGGTTCTCCTATGTATGTAATTGTTTTAAATTGTTCGTCTTCTGTATTAGGTTTCGGATAAATAGAGTTTACTGTTGTCTGGATTTGTTTTTTATTTTATTTAAATAAAAAACAAATTTTATTTAAATAAGAAACAACTCCAGGCAACAGTAAACTCTATTTATCGGAAACCTAATACAGAATACGAACTTGACGTGCTTCTTTAAGTCTTTAAGAAAAAATTGCATGGCAGGAGCCGATAGACGATTTCAGCCACTTCTCCAATAGTGATTCGATTTCTCCACAACATTTCTTTCACTTCTTCGACGGTTTCATCAGTTAGTGACATTTTGGGCCGTCCAGAGCAAGAATCATCATCGGCGTCTTCTCGGCCATCTTGAAACAACTCGTACCACTCATAAACATTTTTTTTTGCTCAAAGTAGATTCACCATATGCCGTTGTCTACATTTCAAGTGTTCTGCGGCACTGTATTCCATTCTGTACACAAAATTTCTCACTTCTTCTGTGGACGTTCAAACTGGCTGAAATTGTGAACATATTTTAGGGACATGTATACCAACATAAAAAAATAGCGGAGATCGAATGTACGTAGCCCACCCAATTACAAAAGTCACCTTGCTTTTGGAACGTACCTCGTATAACTAAATTACAGAACAAATTAAGGTTTTTCCATTTGCCATAAACCTTCACACCCGGACACACTAATATATAATAACTCAAATCGTCCTCACGCACACGCAAAATGGCTGCTTTTTATTCTTTTATCGACTGACTAGTTTATATACCTCTTTCGATAGAAAATTTTGAAAAAAAAAAAGAAAAAAAAATGTTTTAAGCAAAAAATTGACAGGCCGGAATTTTTTAAGGAAAACAATTTGGTGAAAGTGGAAAAAATATACGCTTTCGCGTTTGTACCGAAAATTCGACCCAGGAGTGGAAGTTTCTTGGAATACTTATGTGTTGTTTCCGAATAAAAAGCAAATATTGAGCATGCGCAGTACATTCAATTACCATATTTTTAATATGTACTTTTTCTTATTAATATTGACATATTATTTTTTTTTAACACTACCTTTCAATTTTCTAGTTAGAATACACGTGTATTAAATTTGACATTTTAACATTTTGGAACCGTATTTTCTCCGACGCTATGAGAGCTATTTTTAATACCTTGACAGATTGAAATTTTTGAACCCTATTATCTCCAAACTATAAAAGATAAAGAACATTCCCCGCTTGGATTTACCAGTAGAATACAAATATAGCATTTTGTTTCGCTTATGTCGAAAAATAGCCACACCATGTTTGAAATTTTTCTTTTTTTTTTTTGACAGAGTAATCGCTTCGTTGACACCCGGTATAAATATATTTATATACATTTTATCTAGGTTAAGTCAAATGTGAAATATTTTTTGTACGTTTTTAATAAAGACATTTTATATGACCGATTCTTTTATTTACTTCTATTGTTCTACTGTTTACGGTCAGAAACGTCAAAGCACCTCGACCCGAGAAAAAAACGATTGGCGACTTTTTTTTTTGGTTTTTCAAGTGTAGGAAAATAGAAGTCTTCTCTGGCTCGGGTTTGATAATTATGCATGTCTGTATTTCTTGATAAATATTTGGGAAGCAAACTGTGTTTCATTTTATATAAAAAAGTCATTGTGTTAAGTTGGTTCACACTTAGTAATCCTGTTACTTCCAACATTGACTTTATATGTGTGTAACGATAATACAACGCATGGCTTGGCTCTGTTTTTTCTGAAGTACGCTTACTGCGTCATATTAGCAAGAATAGTGTAGATGAACAATAATTTAAATGTGGTAAGATTATTGACTTTTCAGAAGATCAATTTTCTTCGCAATTTTACTGATTATATCAAATGCTCATCAATGGTAACACCTAAATACTTGCACCCTTCTTTCTGTTCTAATTTTTTGTTATTTATTGATATTCCAGGGTGACTCTTAGTTGGTATGGCATTAAATTTACGTTTAATGATCCTACGTTTTGTTTTTTCTATGTTCAGACTTTATCCCCTTCGCATCAGCCACTTACACAAAAGTTCCATTTCTTTATGGAGGATCATCATCATCTCCCAATAAATACAACAAGGTATCATCAGTAAATGGTTGAACTTTACACTTTTTTAAGTGTCGTACAATGTCGCTTAACCTCCAATAATTATTCATAAACCGGCGCCATATTTATAGGTCGAACTTCTTTACTTTATTTGTGTTTGTCTTCTTCTCATGGAGATGATTGTAGACTTCTTCTTGCACTCTTATGTGTGTTCTATTTTTTGTTATTTATGAATATTGCAGTGTGACTCTTAGTTGGTATGGCATTAAATTTACATTTAATAATCATGGTTGGTATGTTCAAACTTCATCCATTTCGCATCAGGCACTTATACAAAACTTCCATTTCTTCATTCAGAATCATCATCATCTCCCATTAAATGCAACAAGGTACCATCACTAAATAGTTGAACTTCACACTTTTTTAAGTGTCGCACAATGTCGTTTATATAGACAATGAAAAGATTCGGTCCCAACACTGTTCCTTGGGGTACCCCAAATTGATTTTCCTTTTGCTTTAATGTATATTCAAAAAACCTTGTTTCGTGAACGGATTGATGCATACCATATATTTTCAAAAGCTCTTCGAAAATCCAAGAAAATCACTTCTACAATTTTTTTTGTTTGTTAGCGTTTTTCCAGTTTAATAAGACACTTTGTAATGCACTTTCGCAGGAATTGTTTTTTCGAAATCCAAAATATTGTATAAATTGCTTGTTGACAACAACCTCTAATAATTTTTCATAGACCTGTGCCGTATTTATAGGTCGAAATTCTTCACTTTTATTTCTGTTTGTCTTCTCCTCTATGGGGGTGATTGTAGATTTCTTCCAGTATTGTGCAACTATTAATTAATTACTTCAATGGCACTACTGTCTGTCAGCAAATTATCGCAATCATACCGTTTTTTAATTGCATATGAAATTAGGGCTGAATTCAAGGTAAATAACGTTCTCTAAGAAATATTCCCGGATTTCAGTTTTTCAACTTAATGAGGCTGGTGCTTTGTGTGGCATACTGCTGTGGTAAAAAATTATAAGATTTCCGAAGAACGAGTTTAATTGTAAAGAAATATTTCTGACTATTGAAGTATTACATGAATGTCCATGGTTTTTGCATTTAAGTATATTTGGGTGTCCTGGTTGCATTTTTTCCCATCCCATGGTGGTTCTCTGGCGTTGCTCGCTTGCTGTCCTGCATTTTTTTCGTCATATTTAGCGCTTCGGTGGATATTTCGCGTATAGGCAACCAGAAAAACATCTCGGTCTAGAAGTGATAAAAATTATTTTTTCGGCCCAATTACAGCAGAGGCGGCTACGCTCTCGCGCCGCCGGGCTTATTAAAAAGGGCTTTCGGCAAATAACCGGGAGTCAATGAATTTAATTAAAAATATCTATATTTGTTTAGGTGTGACGAACATAAATATCACGGAAAACTACCGTTTTTTCGCTATTTGCGTTACGCACGTGTGCTTTTCAGGCAAAACGGCAGCAAGGGAAAGACGGCAATAAATATTGCTTATATTTTATTTGTTCTAGTTGAAACAATTATTGACAAATCACTCGTGATGTTCTGAGGCCAGGGTGATAACGGCACACGGGGTTTCGGTTGGTTTTATTGGGTTTTTATTGCGTTTTCCGGGCAGCGAATCCCCGGATTTTTCATTGTCTTATTGCTACTTTAATCTCGACAAAATTGGATGTTAATTACGAACAAAAAGCCTAGTCGACATGTCCCATTCCAGTTCTTATTGGCCCAAACGGATAAACCTCACAGACTGAGACCTCCGCGTAGTGGACGTATAGTCTGTCTCAATCTTCATCGTGTTGGCTTTCGACGGAAGCTCCCCAATAAAACTTTAACGACGTTATTACCTATTGTTATTGGGTAAAGCCGTTTAAAAAATATATTCTTATTGTGTGCAGTAAATTTCGTGTGCATGTAACTTCAACTTATTCAGCAAGAAGCTTTTAAAGAAACCTGTCTACTTTAAAAAGCGCCAATATCGTCGGTAAGGGGTATTATTAACAGTGGAGAATTGAAGAAAATGAAGTTTCTTAAAATATTCACCCTGCTGATCAATGCAATTTTGAATTCGATAACACCAATCATCAAAGTACTTTTCCCGCATCGAGTCGTGCACCTCCAAAACATGCTT